CACCTGAGCTGTGTTTCTCAAAGTGCTCCCCTAGGACACCCAAGGGCAGCTGAGAGACAAGAGCTAAAGAGAGAAGACATAACCAGGTCACAGAGAACCTTGAGTGCCAGTCAAGCAGCTGTACTTAGTGACAGCCAAGGCTGGACATGGGAAGTGGCCGGAGCAGACTCCTGCAATGCTCCGGCAGGCTCTGCTGTAGACTGCGAGGGCGCAGGGTGCATTTACCACACCAGGCAGCGGCTGCTCCTGACTGCTAATTGGCAGCATGGCCTCTGCGAGGCACACCATGAGGCAGGCTCAGGGCTGCCACTGCTGCTTTTTGTTATGGCTGTGTTTGCTTGGTAATGACTGTAGGTAAAGGTCAGAAGCCTCCCCAGGGAGGAGTGGGGGGCACCGCAACCCATGAACAAATTCTCCTGAAAGTGCCATTTCAAAGGCTATTAAGGCAAAGATGAGAAGATGTAAGAGGAAGCGGCAGGGTTCCTGCAGGTGCATCTGTGGTCAGCCTGCAAAATGGGAGAGGAAGTAGCTGACTGGAGCCTGCTTTAATGAATCTCATATCATTCTGACACACACACACACAGAGGATGAGAGGGGTCAACAGATAATTATTTAATCTGCATAGACAGCTGGGCCAGATCTAATGCACATTGCATTACTTCCTTTTTCAACTTTTTGTGTGTATTGGAAGTTTTCCACTATAAAATGGGGGGCATAACTGACCCATTCTCACATAGACAGTCGCATGCTAGCTGGACCCGCTGAACGCAAGGTGAGTACCCTGAGGTTTCCTTAGGTGGAGAAACTCTCTCTCTTTCTCTCTCTCCATACTATACTGCTCCCAGCATACAGACAGCAGGAAATATTGGATGATGGATGGGTTGTTGGATGGATGGGTACAAGGTGGGTACATGATGAGTGAGTGGATGGATGGGTGGTAGACGTGGAAGAGTGAGCAGGTAGATGGATGATGGGTGTTGGACGGTGGTGGAGCGCAAGGCTCAGGCCCTACTGGAGAAACCTCCCACCCCGAGACATACTAACATAGCAGGTGGGACAGAATAACCGATACAGAGCCCAGGGGCAGGGGCTCCCACGTGCAGGCATCTGGGAAGATGGAGGTATTGGAGCTACACATTGCGAGCAAAGTAGTTGAGGTGAATATAAGGAAGAACAGGACTCCGAGTGAAGGAGAAGGCAAAGACATTAGTGACCAGGGGTATATTTGGGGAAAAGCCCAGTTGTCTTGAATGTCAGTGTGAGGAGACACATTCAGAAATGTTTGTTGAGAACCAGCAAAGGACAGATTGAAGGCTGAGACAAAGACAGGCAGAAGGAGTGTGAGGTCAGTTTGTATCCAGGCTCTTTCTTGGCCACTGAGTTGGAGTGTGATGGATGTCCTCTTCACCTCACTCTCCTCAGCTGTTGAAAGGGGACAGGGATTTTCCTCACTCATGAGTTACTGCGAGGATGAAGTAATATTTCACTTGTTATGTGTGTGACCTCACCGCTCAGCTCAGATGTGCCAGCGCGCGTTGAGTCATCCACTTGCTCCTGGACAACTATGTTGTCCCTTGCTAACCTGCTAATGCAGACATCCTTTTCCTGTGTCTTTGTATGATGGTGATTCTACTGCCACTGCCTAGATTCGCCAAAGAATGAGGTAGATATGTGACCTGGTGGGATAACTATTACATATATGTATATATGACATATATATATGTATGTATATGTATGACATTTATTATATATGACATACATATGACATTATATATACATATATATGACATTATATATATATACATATGTGTGTGTGTATAGATATATATATATGACACTTAACAAAAGGCAGAACAGAGAAAATGGCCGGGTGCTGTGTAGGGTGTGTGTGAGGCAGAGGCCTGGTGAACCTGTGGACTCCCAGGGGCCCAGAGGAAGAAGGGATGGGCCCTGGTGGGGAGTGGATGGTGGGGCAAAATGGGGGAAGTGTCAAAAGGCACAGAATCCCAGTTATCAGGTAACTATCCCGGGGTGTCTTACCTGGCATGGGAACTATCATTAACAATACCATATTGCATATTTAAGAAGTTGCCAAGAGAGTCCATCTTAAAAGTTCTCACCAGAAGAAATAAAATGTTTTTGTAACTGTGTATATTCATGGATAATATTAACTAAATTTAACGTGATCATTTTGCAATATATGCACAAATATCAAATCATTGTTGAATATGCCAATCTAATATGTTACATGTCGATGAAATAAAGTGAAAAAACAGAAACTTAAGACAAAGGAAGCAGTAGTTGGGTAAAAGTTCTTTCAAAAAACAGCTTAGTAGGGCCCTTAAAGCACAGCACTATGAAGCTATCACAGCCACTGCAGCACGAGTTCGATCCCCAGCCAGGGAGCTGACCCACATGTGACCCACCAGGTCACATATCTACCTCATTCTTTGGCGAACCTCTCCTGACACACCCACTGCTTCCCCTCAGCAGTGTATTTCAGTAGATCTGCCTGTTCTGCTCCCCACTCTGTATCTAGTGAATCCTCTCACCCTTCCACACACACCACTGGCCTATACCCCAGTTCTGTATGCATAAATAAATAAACCTTTTTTTAAAATTAAAAAAAAAGCATATTAGAAGCAAGGAAATTGAAAAGTAAGGTAGAACATTTATCATAGTTTTACTACTTTGACCTATGTCCCATGTTTCCTCTTATATGAAATATAAATAATTTTTTATATTAGCAAAATATGTATTGGCATGTGGCTAGTTATGGTTTCCATCATTTATGGCTAACTTTAAACTTTGAAAGATATCTTCTTAAATTATTTATGTAAAATATTGTGATAATAGCCAAAGTAATAATATCAGGTAATATTATTACAAAGTAATAATATCAGAGTTGAAAATCAACTCTGCTTTCTGAACCATTTTAAACATAATAAAACAAAAAAAGAAGGAGATTCCCATGTCCCTCGGGGTGGGTGAGACCCAGTAGCAGACCACTGCTGACACCTTAAGACCCTGGGGGGGGCTGTACTCAGCCTGTGATGACTTTGGAAATCTGAAAGCTTGAGAAAGTGAGTTTTGTTAAGTGGTGACAACGACGCTGATGGTCTTATGGTACCAGGGCCCCCAAGGTCAAGCATCTAGCCACAGGGCAAGATGGAGTGAGCTCAGGCCAAAGGCCTTTACAAAAGGTCACCAGAAACTTCTAGAACCTGAACTGTAAATAGAAGCACAACAGAGGTTCTTTGAGAACTCCACAGTAAAGAGAACCAGTGCTGTTCTCCTCCATGCACCCCAGCACCTGGCAGAGCATTTGGGGCATTATAGGTTCTGAAGGAAATACTAGTGGAAAAGGAGAGAAGGGAAGAGAGCAAAGGAAGGAGAGAGGAGAGAAAAGAGAGTTCTGATTATGTGAGAGGCTGGTTTGTACTTGAAAACCTCCAAAATCACCTAAAATGTCGATCCAATGCCGGCATACCTGTACCCGGCTATAAAGGAAACATAGAGGAAATTTTGATCACAAACAGAGATCTACCCTCGCTGCCACCCCCTCCAAAGTTAATTAAGTGTGGCGGTGAGAGCCATGCTGTTTGGGCTATTTATGTAATGAAAAGATCTTCTAAAAATAATACCCAGAGGCCCAGCTCCCGAGGCCTGATGGCTGAGCCAGCTGGAGTGGCAGAAGGTGACCAGGAGCGTGATCCCTGCACCGACACAGTGGTTATGATTAAATGATGCTTCTCTTATTCAGGTTGCAAAACCGCTCCCAGCAAGAGTCTGGAGAGGCTTCATTTATGTCACATGGCGATTAGCTGGCTTCTGAGGGTTCTGCTGTCGACTTGATTTCTGCACACCCCCAGATCTCAGGAGATCGCCTCCTGGCTGATCTCTGGAAAACCAGGACCAGCCGACATCAAAGTCCAGGAATTCTCAGCAGGGCCTTAGCTGGTTGGGCATAGATTGGAACTGCAGAATGGCATCACTAAGAGGAGGGACTCACTGCGATTTAACCAAGAAGCATTGTGTGTGCAGCCATTCTGCTGAAGTGATGTTTGCAGTGAGGTGGGAGGGAGGGAGGGAGCGAAGGCCCTACCCATGATAGGGACTAATAGAATAAATCATAACCACCCACCCCATGGTCTATTATGCAGCCATTAGAAAGATTGAGTGAGTTCTGTGCAAGCTGACCTGGACAAGGGGCCATGTGTGCTGCTAATCAAGAGGAGATTTAGAGAGCCCTTCAGACCAGGGGCGGGGTGAGCGGTGGGCAAACTGTGAGAGAAAGACAGATCTGCCTGGTTGGGTGCAGCCCATACACTAAGCCTGATTTTTACATTTTTAAATATAGTTTGGAAACAGAAAATCAAGATTTTGTGACATGTGAAAATGAGGTGAAATTCATATTTGTGTCCCTAATTTATATCTCACTGGTACACAAAGACACTCGTTTATTTGCACGCTGCCTGTGTGGGCGCTTTTGTGTGACAGAGGAGTTACAGCAGGCCAAGCTACAGGCCCTTTACTAAAACAGTGCTTGCCCTAGAGTGTGGTGACGTTTGTAAGACAGCAATGTCAGAGGCCGTGTCAGCGTTTCCTAAGAGTAAAGTTATTACATTAGCGTGTTTATTATTTTATCATTGATTCACCAGATGCTTAATGGAGCGCCAGACACAGTGAGCCTTCGGGTGCAGTTTCTGGTCCTCGAGCTTGCATCTATGTCTAGATCTTTCTTTTTCGGGTATAAACAGTCCTTGTCTCTCCCCACTCCCATCCGGCAAGGTAACACCACTGTCCAGCCCCTTGTCTCTTCCTCCTTCCCCCAACTCTGTGTCCTGATGGCCTCAGTCCCTCCAAAGGAGAGGTGTTCTGACTGATCCCTGCCTCCTGGTGTCTGAAGGCAGGCCAGGATGTAAATGGATTCTTCTTGAATTGGGTCAGGGTCTTAATCTGCTTTCAAAGCACTCAACACTTGACCTTTGCATTTTCAGCTCCTGCTCTCCAGTGCTTCTGAGTGGGGGACGCAGCTGGACTTGACCCCCATCACGTGGATGGGCACAGCCACTAGGTATGGAGAGGGACACAGACCCATCTCCCCGTGATCCCTTCAGCAAAAAACCAAAGCCACCTCCGGACACATGCCCCAGGGCCTCAGCCTCTATGCAAAACCTGGTGAATGGAGACCTGCTCCAGATCCAGGAAGAAGCCAGCTCTGCAGGGCACAACTTGAGGACTGGCATCTGAATCAGGAACCTAGCTTCAGGGACTTGTTCTTCCTCATCTTCTTTCCTATTCCTGCCCACCCCCTCCCCCCACTCCCCAGGAGACTGCTTTATTTATTCCTAGTAAAACAGCACTGGGCCGGACAATGTAGCTCTGGATACTGCTCTGTTGGGCAGCTGGAATCCAGTGGCTGATATAATTGACACACTGGGGAGCTGGAAGAGACGCAGCAGGAGGGGGGCTGTGGGCAGAGGAAGGAGCTGTAGGGCCCCAGGATGGCAGCCAATGTCACAGACTCCTCCTGTCTAGACTCTATCACATTAAAGATCACCGTCAGTGTGGTCCTCACGGTCCTCATCCTCATCACCATTGCTGGCAATGTGGTGGTCTGCCTGGCCGTGGGCTTGAACCGCCGGCTCCGCAGCCTGACCAACTGCTTCATTGTCTCCTTGGCCGTCACCGACCTTCTCCTCGGCCTCCTGGTGCTGCCCTTCTCAGCCTTCTACCAGCTGTCTTGCAGGTGGAGTTTCGGCAAGGTCTTCTGCGATATCTATACCAGCCTGGACGTCATGCTGTGCACGGCTTCCATCCTCAACCTCTTCATGATCAGCCTGGACCGGTACTGTGCCGTCACAGACCCTCTGCGCTACCCCGTGCTGATCACCCCGCTCCGGGTCGCCGTCTCCCTGGTCTTAATCTGGGTCATCTCCATCACCCTGTCCTTTCTGTCTATCCACCTGGGGTGGAACAGCAGGAACGAGACCAGTATGGTCACTCACACTGTCCCGAAGTGCAAAGTCCAGGTCAACTTGGTGTACGGCTTGGTAGATGGACTGGTCACCTTCTACCTGCCCCTGCTGGTCATGTGCATCACCTACTACCGCATCTTCAAGATTGCCCGGGACCAGGCCAAAAGGATCCATCACGTCAGCTCTTGGAAGGCGGCCACCGTCAGGGAGCACAAAGCCACAGTGACGCTGGCCGCGGTCATGGGGGCTTTCATCGTCTGCTGGTTCCCCTACTTCACTGTCTTTGTTTACCGTGGGCTGAGAGGGGATGATGCCATCAACGAGGTCTTTGAAGCCATCGTTCTGTGGCTGGGCTATGCCAACTCGGCCCTGAACCCCATCCTGTACGCTGCACTGAACAGGGACTTCCGCACAGCCTACCAGCAGCTCTTCCGCTGTAGGCCCGCTGGCCACACCGCCCACGAAATGTCTCTGAGGTCCAACAGCTCCCAACTGTCCAGGAACCAGAGCCGAGAACCTAGGCAGCAGGAAGAGAAACCCCTGAAGCTCCAGGTGTGGAGCGGGGCAGAGGTCACAGTCCCCAGGGGAACCACAGACAGGTAACAACCCTGGCCTTTGGTGTGCAGGATGGGGCGCAGTGAGGGGAGTCCCACATCTCATCACCACTAGGGTGCTGATTGTTCTGAGACGCTGGTTGGGACATTCTGGGCTGGGAACACACGCATGAAGCTTTTGCGAGCCTCATGTCCTCCCATGGCCCCAGGTCTCCCCTCCTTCCATCCCCAGAGATGACTTTATTACCTCCATTTTCAAAGGTGCACATTAACTATCAGAGAACTTGGCCTGGGCCACACAGCTAGATAGCAGGTCTTTTTTTTCTTTCAGCTATGTTGCCCTTCCTGAGGGGAGTCCTAAGTTTGAGGCCCAACTCTGCCACGTAGCGTCACATGGGTCACCCAAATCCTCATATAGCCATGGCTGCTGCTGTAGCTGGGGATAAAGGGAGAAGCCCAGCTTGGCAAATTCATAGAGCACCTACTATGCTCACCCTGGGTGGCGGAGGGCTGCAGGGGCCTGCTCAGGTCAAAGAAAAAAGGACTGGCCGAGTAGAGAGGGCAGGACGTGAAGGCTAAGCCGTGGGTTTGGATACTGTACAGCAGTCGTTGGAAGATGAAACAATTGGAAGGAAGTAAGGTTGATGCTAAACCAGGCAATTAACTCCATGCTCTGGTTGCCCCCCGAGACCATGGACCAGACCCTGAGACAGGAACATGAGTAAAGGGGGCTGTGTCTTTCATCCATGAAAGGCAGAAAGAGAATAGAGAAATATCTAGAAGACTCTGAGAAAATTTTGGACACTTGCGTATCTGGGGTGACAGAGGTGCAGGAGAGAGGACATGCTAGAATTTCATTCCCAAGATCTATGCAGGTATGGGACGAAGGTGTAAATTAAATTCACTGCTGACGAAACCAGAGCAGGGTATTAAGAGATACTGAGGACTGAAGTGACGCTGGAGAGGCTCAGCTGGAGGGAAGGAGGGCGCTGGCCTGCCTCGCAGGGTGACACGTAAATGGGAGGGTGCCGCGGAGCATGTGGCTTTCCTTGTGCTGTCCAGGGACCGTGACTTTGCCCGGAGCATACTGGTCTGCTTGACTGACCCATTCATTCATTCATTCATTCATTCATTCATTCATTCATTCGTTCGTTCATTCATTCTGTTGCAACTTCCTACCACTTGCCCAGAACTGTGCTGTGCACTGGGGTGCAGAAATGCCATTTTAGTGTTGATGGAGATGAACAGGTCTAGAAAGCCACCTATAGAGCCCTGAACTCAGTTCTGCCCTCACGCTGTATCTTTAACAAATTCCTGCCCCCATCTCAAGCCTAAGTTCCTTCACCTAGAGGTCTATCCTCAACCAGCCTGCCTGCTCAGCTCCCAAAGCTGCCAGAAGCGTGCGTGAACTGCCGAGGGTCTCACACAATCCTATGGGGTGCTCGTCTACTCTCAAGCTTGTATGGGCACTGCCGACTCTCAGTCTCCCAGTCTGGTCTGTGCAGAGCATGGTGGGAGCAAAACTGCCTGACGACCCCAGGACCTTGTGTCCCCTTTAGTCCTTGCAACAGCAAGGTGTGAAATGTTGCCCACAGACTAGGGCTCCTTCACTGCTGTTCTTGAACTAACTTTACTGCTCCTGAATGAACAGTCTCTTCAGCTTCCTTTCTGGCCTCCCAAGCCCTAGAATCTCCCTGTCAGAAGCATCCTGTGAGCCACCCATAGCTATCTCTACAAAATGCAGATCCAGAGACCTCTCCACACATCCCTGATGGAGAAGATGCTCATTTGACCAAGTCTGTCTTCCTCATTCAGGAGGAGGCTTGGAGTGCAAAGCTAACTTAGTTCACAAAGTATATATGGGCTGTATAGAAAGCAGTTGACATGATTCTGTTGAGTCTTGACGCCACTTCCTATAGCTCTTACCTCTTCCCATTAATAAGCTGCTCCTATTAATAAGTTACTCCAGGGAAACTTATTTGCTAAGCACTTACCAACAGTGAACTAACACTCACTGAGTACCTCCTTGGAGCCAGTTTTACAGGTTTGCCATTGTGACTACGTATTGATTGTTCTGTGGAGCTATCCTTTCCCAGCCCCTGTGCTAAGGTGCTCAGAAAAGAGCACCCATACACACACCACCATGCTTACCTCCTGAAAGTTCTCAGCCTGGTGGAGAAGCAGGTTGGGCACCCAGATGAGGGGTGCATGGTCCCAGGAGCCAGCTATGAGGTGCAGACTTCTGAGCCGAATCTTAAAAGCAGGTGGGAGAGTTCCCTTCATCTAAGATGGTACCAGCTTCTCTAGGCTCACGGCCTCGATTCATTCTCTATACAGCCATGTCTCAGCTCTACACATAAGCGGGTGTGCTCTGAGCTTTATCGGAGCTCAGAGACGTTAAGTCAGTTGTCCAAGCGACAAAGAAGTCAGCCAAAGTCAATAGCAGCCCCATGCTTCACACTGCTGATGTGATGCCCACCTGCTCTGTGCCACCCTAGGTGGACAGCTATGAAAATCCAAGGTCAACGAGTGGTGGTGCCTGCCTGGGCCATGCAGCAGCCTCAAGCACAAGTCATGGCCATGTTCCGACCTCCCCTGAGCCAGGAAGCAATGAGCCAAGGGCTTTGTCAGAGGAGGGTGGGATACAGTTGGAGAGCAGGGTGGTTGTAGGAAACCTAGGAAAGTCAGAGGTGGATTTTCCCACTGAGGCTGCCAGGGCTTTGGCCAAGAGTCCTTACCACTGTTGAGGGGAGCAATGTTGGCTTGAACTGAGAATCCCTAGGAGACTCACCTGCCTGTCCTCGAGGGAGGGGACAGTGTCAGCCCAGGAAGACTCCATGAGCCAGTGCAGCTGAACTGGCCTGTCCTCTCTTCCCCGTGGCCACCCAGCAGCCACCTCCACAGCAGGGTGCTCTTTCTTCCCTTCCTGGCTCCTCCTTGCTCCCCAGGACAGCCTTGCCTGCCTCTGCTGGGCACCAGCCCCCAGCCTCTTCACTGCAGTCTGCTGACCCTGCTTAGTAACCCCACTGGCTATAACCTGTGTTCATCCCCAGCACTGCCGTTAACAAAACACCATGCATTTGGTCACTGAAAACAACACATTTATTTTGTTATTATTCCAGAAAAGGAGTCTGACATTAAGGTGTTGGTGAGGCTGATTCTTTCTGGAGGCTTCCAAGAAGAATATGTTTCCCTGCCTTTCCCCAAGTCTGAAGGATGTCCACCCTCAGGCTGTCCACACTCCTTGACTTATGGTATTAGCATGCAACCAAGGGGTATCCAGGGACCCCCCCCCCCAAAAAAAAGCCTTGCACTCCCTAAAGGAATCCAGTCATCCATGTGTACGAAGGCAAAGCAAACTTAGTGTGAAAGTTAACAGAACTAGTAGAAAGGAAAGGATAGTCCTAAAAGTGTCCCAATAACCCCCCCCAAAATTATCCATTCTCTTGAAGATAAATGCCCATCCAAACAGGGTCAACTTAAAGCGGGGCTGCTGAAGCCCCAAACTTGCCACAGGCTTAAGGCATCTCCCAGGAGGGAACCATAGACAGGGCTTTGCGGCAGGCCCAGAAAGCTGGCACAGAAGGAGATGCCATATCAAGGTAACAGCTGCTGTTGCCAGCCTCCCCACGTGTCTCCCCCCAAACGTCTCCACAAGTCTCGCCTCCACATGACTCCTTCTGTGTCTCCTTCTCAGTAGTACCAGGGTGCAAGTCAGGCAGCAGATACCAGAAGCCCCTCTTCTTGGTCTTCATTTTCTTCATTTTCTTGCTTTCCATGCTGTCTAGCTCCACTTGGCCTCTCAGCTCTGCCCATCGTTAAGTAGAGTGGGGAACGTGGTGCATCTCCTGTTACTAGAGATGTCTCTCTAACAATGCCCCCATCCCTTCTCCATCATCATATTCCTGTTCTCCATATCTGTACAAAACCTCCCTTTGCCTCACCCTTTATAAGGTGACATTTAGAGCCCACCAGAAAAGTCCAGCACAATCTCCCCACCCCAAATTCCTTAGTCACTTTGCACCACTTGTGTGCCACCCTCCCTGGGCCCACACCCATCCCTTTCAGCTCCCACCCAAGCAAACCACTAAAGGTTCGTGCATTCACAAGCACTGAATCTACGTGCAATGCTGTTTGAGGCCTGGCAGTGAGCAGAGACCCTCCCCCTTGGGGGATGTTCTTCTAGAACAGTGTGGTTCACAAAGTGCAGACCCTGACCAGCAGCAGGCTTCTGGGAGTAAAGTAGCCACATTAGGAGACATGGTCTTGTCTGGCAGAGCAGGGTTCCAGCCCAAACCTCTCTGACCCCACAAACCTAGGCCCTTTCCATGTTGAAATGCTGCCTATACCTGAGCTTAAGCCAGACTCTGGGCTTGTCCCATGGATAGCAGATGGGGAAACTGAGGCACCGGAGGCCTGCGACCTGAGACCCTCTGCAAGCTAGGGAGGGGCTGGGAATAGAAGAGCGCTGCACATCTGGGCCCCACCCTGCCTGTGGGGGTCCCCTCCCCAAACTCTGCCTTGCTCTAGGGGAAGCTCCCTGAGCAGGAGATATTGTTCATTAAGAACCAACTGTCTTGCTTGCTTGCCCATTCCAGTACAATCCCTGCATCCAGGGGCTGCACCCAGAGCCCCTGCACCCAGCCCTTGGAGGACACGTTCCAGAAAGCGTCTGGAGAAGCGTTTGATGGGAGGCAGGTGTGGCAAGGGGCCCTCTACCCTCTGGCCACCTCTCTCCCCAAAAGGCCTCTTGCCAGTACTTTGCCTGGCTTTGCTTTCTTACCTCTGCAACCAGAGAGAGCATTTCCCAACTGAATGGGATTATGGCCACCTTTCTGGGTGCTCTAGTAGTAAAACGCTAGGTTCTGAGCTGCCCAGCAACTACCACTGCCCTCGCCCCTTTATCCCCACTCGAGGCCACAAATTCCCCGTGCACTCCGCCCTCAACAGAGACCAGACTGTACGGTCTGCTCCCAACCTGTCTGCCTAATGTGTACAGCTCCCAAGGACAGGCCGATGGGTGGGTGCTCGCTGCTGTCTCCTTA